ATGGCCAAGTTGTATCTAAACAATGGCCCTAAACTCATCAGTAATTGTATCACCATTAACTCAAACCTCAGCCCCCTTCCTTGGGGCACTGAGATAGGGCTTGTTTCTAGCCAGGACTCCTCTTGAGTTTGGGAGCAGGAAGACCCCTGAGCCAACTTCAGTGAATTCTAGGGGAATCAAAAGAGGGTGGAGATCAAGAGCATCTAGATAGGAAGCTCTGGCTTCTAGAGTCAGAAACGCTGCCTGTCTTTTGTCTGCCTTAAGGCCTCCCCTCCCATGAATGATACTTACTCTGCGTGCTTAATGCTTTCCCCTAAGACCCCAGCAGATCCTTAGCTCTTTTGGAACCCATCAGTCTCTCTAGATTTCTTAGATAGTGAAATATTTTTCCCAACTGACTGTTTCTAAACACACTTGAACTTGTAAGCCAAGGTTTTTCAACACAGATGTTTGGAGCTCTTCTCCGTCCCCACCCACTTCTGCCTGTTCCCTGATTTGTCTCCTGGGAATGGAGGTATGACTGAGGCTGGCACCTGTGGCACTGCCACGGGGTCATCAGGACCCCCAGTGGGGCTCCCAGCCTTGACCATTTCCCTGCATCCAACAGACTCCACTACTCTATACTGGAGGGAAAGGTCCCGAAGGCTCATCCTTTCCACATCAGAAACTGACCTGAAATAGCACCTAAGAGAAGAGGGTTTTCAGGAAGCTGGGGGAGCCCCTGCCTCCCTCATCCCAGACCAACCTATACATGGTAATGTAAACAGGACAAATGGGTGACCATGCAGGGGGATGCATTTGCTCAGAGCCTCTCAGTCTTTACCCCCTGTGTTCCTGTTGCCCTTGAAGAATGAGGTAGGCAGTGGGCAGGCACAGAGAGAAAGAGAACCCCACAGCTTCAGCCCAGCCCCAGCACGGCAGGGAGGGGAGGTAGCTTCTGCCTCCCATGGTTAGCCAGTCTTAGGAAACAGAAAACCAAAGAGCTTTTGAAATGGTGACCTTGAGGCTGAGAGTCTGCAGCCAGAGCACAGATCTGTCATCCTCGAATTGACAGGCAGGGTGTCGCCCTGGTGAGGGTGATCGTTTATCATGTTCAGGGAGCAGCAGAGTCCTTGAGGGCAAAGCCAAGTTCCTCACCCCCCAATGGCACCCAATAGTATCTGAGCTTTCCAATCCACGGTTACCTCTGGGGATAAATGGTGATGGATTTTCAACAGCGTAATTAGACCAAATCAAATTCCAGTCTTCTAATGGCTATTAAATGCACCACAAATCCCTTATTGATTCTATTTAGAAAAAGAAATAAGTCCTGGTTCAGGCTCCTGCTGCGCTGACTGGCCAGCTACTGGATGCACTCACCCAGTAGGTAGATGGGCCTGGCATGGGGTATATGTACAGGATCTGACCGGATGTTAAGGACACCAAGGCAAACACATCCTTGGGCAATGACCATGTACTGGGATCTGATGACTTCTTGACCTTGTAGGATCTGAGCCGCCCAAGGACAAGACCATCATCCTTGAGCAGCTACGAAAGATCTCACTCCCACTCTACAGCATCCTGTCAGCCCTCACCATCCTGGGCATGATTATGGCCAGCGCCTTCCTCTTCTTTAACATCAAGAACCGGAACCAGAAGTAAGCCCTACTCCAGGAGAATGCTTTCTGGATGGACTAGCTCATGGGATCACCACATAGGACAGAGGTTGAAATGTGTTGCCCAATTGCTAGGACAATTTAGGAGAAAGAGAGAGAGGAGGTGGGAGAGAGAGACACAGATTGGGCTGCTGATTATGTGCCAACCAAGTCTGGGGTAGAGGTGTTAAATGAAGTAGAACTGGGAAGCCCAAGTCCATGAACTTTCCCAGAGCTCTGGCCATGCCCAGTACCTTGTGTTCTGACAGTGACACAGAGGACCCCCAAATCCCTAGCTTCTCAGCCCACCCCAGAACCTTTAGGAATGCTGGTAGAGAGGGCCACAAAATCCAGTAACAGGAACTCTTGTTGGTGTGAAACATGAGAGCCTAGGAATCCCCTCCCTCACATCATCTGTGACTCCCTGTGTCACATGAGGGTTGCTGCCCCCTTGGTTGGTCTGGATTGTTTTTTCCCCGGGGAGGCCTCACTCTGAGGTACTGTGCTCAGCCACAGGCAGATAAGCCAGGTTCCTCGGGCTCAGCCAGGCAGCCAGGCCCTTTGGTTTTCATAGCAAATCCCTGAATGCAGCCCCTGCTTCCATTGATGGGAGAGGCTGGGCCAAAATGGGGCGCATGCATGTCCTGGGGCAGCCTCCACGTGTAACCACGAGGCAACCGAGTGTCATTGTGCCCCAAAGCCACATCACATCACCCACAGGCTGCCAAGGGCAAGAGCAATTCCAAGGAATGGGTTTTACTGTGTTTTGCTTCTCTGTTGCAAAGGAAGAGCTTTGACTCTGATGGCTTGTTTGTTTTTTAAGTAACTGTTCAGGTCAAATCCATTTCCTGAAGAATGAAAGCAATTCACCTGGTATCTTTTCCAACCATGAGCAATTGTCACAACAGTATAACCAAGGGTACCAACCTTGAATGAGGATTGCACCAGTTAGCATTTGGCTGAGACCCGGTGCCACTCAGCTTGCAGTATTGCACAGCCCTCCAGTGTGCCTCAAGAGAACCCATGAGAAACTTCCCCATCAGAAAACCAAGATCCTTTAACACCTTAACTCTGCCCCGCCCCCCAAAGGCCTCCCAGGAAATTACCAGGATGAATTATTGGGCCACTGAAAAATCTGCAAAGACATGGGAGATAATTCTCCCTCCCCTTACCTCTTCCTTAATGCTACCCCACCCCTTTGTGGACCACTTCCTCCAGGAAGCCCATCCATCCCCTCCCCAGTGTGAACATGAAACATTCATAGAATTGCAGAACACAAAGGAAATGTCTGGAGAAAAACTGGCTGTAGCTACAGTCTGCAAAAGAGCTATTCTGAGCCAGTTGTACTGGGGGAGCCAGGACCTATGGGTTAGTTGAAAACTCCAGACCCCTAGGGGTCAACTTGGTCCTGGCTCACTGGGAGCCAAAGCAACATTCCTGGAGGAAGTGAGAATGTGGCATGCAGAGTTTCAGAGTAAAAAGAATCCCCTACCTGTGGTCTGATGACGAGAAAGGTGGAGGATGCACAGGCGGTCCACCGCCCACCTCTTGTTCAGGGTGGTGGCAGGGAGGTAGGCCTATGTCCCTCTTTGCACATGCAAAGGTGTGAATTTTCTGAGTGTTCCAGAGGAGGCTCACTCAACATCTGATGAGTGAAATCCCTGAGCAACTCTGAATACTCACTGCAGGGCTCTGTAACATAGCCACTCGGGCAAGGAAGTTCAGTATGGGGGTCACCCTCCTCTGTGGACTCTCTAGATTAGATTTGTGTTTCCAGGCATGACCAAAATTCCTCTTGCAGACACTGAAGATTCAAATAGATGACATTGAGCCGTCCCTAGAGAAGTGATAGGTGGGTTTGACCAAGGAGGGGGAAAATCAGTAGTCAGAAATACACACTTATCAGGGTCTTTTCAAGAAGCATCTAGGTGTAGACTGGAGAGTAGAAGAGCCCAGCGCCCTGGTTTCCCTCACCTAGGAGACTTGGAAGATGCTGTGTAACTGAGCTGCCTCTCTTCCGCCAGGCTGATCAAGATGTCCAGTCCCTACATGAACAACCTCATCATCCTGGGTGGAATGCTTTCCTATGCATCCATCTTCCTCTTCGGCCTCGATGGATCCTTTGTCTCGGAAAAGACCTTCGAAACGCTGTGCACGGTGAGTCCTTCTGCACATGCCAGTGTTGCATAGAGCAAAGATTTCTTGGTGGCCTTGGTCATCATACACACAGGTGTGTGGAAGCATCCAGAGCTCAGAAGGAAGTGTGATGTCAACTGTCTGACCACACTGAGCAACAGCTATACCGCTGAGGTGACCATGTGATGGGCCACTGTCTGGAGGACAGCCCACAGAGAAGAGTCCAGGCACCCAGATGGGAGGGAAGAGAATGAACTCCCACCTGGAGCAACTGCATCAGCATCCAGAGCCACACAGTCAGGGGAGAAAGACACACTCTCCGTCTGCTGGCTCCTGCACAGGAGAGGACATGGAGTGGATAAAGGGGTAGCCTGGAGTCAGACAAAAGCTGTCATCAAATTTTCTCTGTTAGTCGTGTTTCAAACCAGTTTTTTCATTACTGTTCACCTTAGGAATCTGTTACATAGAATTTGTTATCAAAGCATCCCTCCCATGAACCTGTGTGTGTGTGTGTGTGTGTGTGTGTGTGTGTGCTGGCACACATGTGTACATGCATGTAGAGGCCAGAGGTCAAACTTGGGTGTTGTCCTCAGGAGCCCTCCTTCTTGTTTTTTTGAGACAAGGTCTCTCACTAGGACTTGAGTCTTGCCAACAAGGCCTGGCTGACCAGGAACCAGGATCCTGTCTCCATCTCCCCAGTGCTGAGGTCACAAGCCTGTGCCACCATGCCCCATTTTTTTCTTGCGGGCTCTGAGGATCCGACCTCAGGTCCTCATGCATTCATGACAAATACTCTGCTGACTGAAATATCTCCCCAACCCTTCCTGTGAAACTAATATTGGAGACATCCTGTGCACTGCAAATGTACCATATGTGTATCTGTTTCAGACATAAAAAGTGATACTTTTCACATTCAGGAACCAACATTGGCTCCCCAGGTGGCTGGATAGTCCCCAGTGAGGAGTGCATGTATTTAAAGAAGCCCAAAACAGTGCGATTTATCTACCGTATGTAGAAAAATCATTTTGAAAATTAATTAGCATTAACAGGGTTTTAATGCCCAAAGAGATACCCGTTAGCTATTACTTTTAAAGTAGTAGTAGAGCTTGTGTGTGAGCAGCTAGCAACTGTGCAGAGCTAGCCCTAGGCTGGACCTATCCTCGGTCCCCTGTGAAGAGACAGCAACCCTGTGGGATTGATTTCTACACCTTGATAACTGTCATCTCTCAGAAATGGGTTTAAGAGGAACATGGTGGCACATACCTGTAATTACGCATCCGAGAGGCTGAGGCAGGATTGTTGTATGTTCAAGGCAAGCTTGGGCTACATGAGGAGTTCCAGCCCAGCCTGGGCTACAGTGTGAGACACTCCCCCACATCACATAAAACAAAATAAACAACGAAAAGGGAGTGAGTGAAGCATGTGTGTTCTTTGCTGTCTCCAGGGCAATCATTATTCCACTTGTGTGCCTGGGAGGGAAGGGTCAGAGCATCCAGCAGAAGATCCCTGTACAGCCATCCTCTGTTTCCTCCAGTGTGGGGGAGGGTGGGCCTTCTGCAAAGTCACTTCCTCCAGATCCCACCTGCTGCTCTGAGGCTTCAAGTCACCCCCTACCAGGCCATGAAGAGGTAAAATGGCCAGAGAAAGATATGTGTGAGAGGAGCCTAAAACCTTCATGCCCATGTGTGTGTGCGCACACACACACACACTCACACACACACACACACACACACGCACACACACACGCACACACACCATGCCTCAAACTTTTAGGCCCACACCTGGTCCCGATGGTGTGGGGCAGTACTGGAAAAGGTGCACCCCCAGACCCTGTACTCTAGGGGTCAGTGCCCCGTCCCCACGTTCCTATGTCAGTGATATTCTGCCCTTTGTGAGCATTGTCTTGGTCTATGCACGGCTCACTGGGGCAGTGGGGAGGCTGGGTTGGGCGTTGCCCTGAGGCACCTCACAAAGGACCCCAGAAAGAGCAAGGAAAGAGCAAAATCTCCCTGCCCTGTGCTCCAAAGGGCTTAGAGCCCCTCCACAAGTTCAAGAACACTGTGATAGTAACAATACTGAACATGGTGCCAAGGCTGGCCTGGTCACCTGTAGGTGCTCCAACCCCTCAGTGGCATCCCAGGAGACTGAGGGCCTGCTTCTGTTGCCCAGCTCTACTGTAGAACTGCACCCTGGTTCTACAGCAACCCCATTCCCTCCTGGAGCCACTGCCAGCTCCTTGGCACTGCTACTCAGGATGCCTCCAGTGAGGGAGTTGCATCTTGGATACAGAGAGACCTAGGCAGACTTGAAGAGCTGCTTTCCAGGAGAGTCCGTCCCCAGAGGGAGGCCCACCATGCATGTTACCCGTGCACCCTTCAAGGCAGTTCCCTGCCAGACTTTCTCAAATTTGACCTGAATTCTCCACGTCTTGGGTAAAAGACTAGGGAGATAGGGAGCATGAAGAGGGCCATCCCCACACACAGGCTTTTTCCTTAATGAAGCCTGACATTCTATTCTGGGAGTCGCACTCATTTGTGTGAAAGGAAGGTCGTCCTGGGAAGCCCAGGGAGGCAGCATGAATAAATCATGACGCGCTTTACAAACCAACCTGAGCCAGAGCTCCAGGAAGGGGAGATGGCCAGATCTCCTGCCCAGAATTCCTCCATAAGCTGTGAGAGCTGCACAGAAGGAGTCTATGCATGACTGCAGGATTGAACTGGGTACCAGATAATCCTGATGTTGCCCAAGAAGAGGGGCTGGATGCTCTTGATCACACAGAGCCCAAGTACCAGTCCCAATGGGAGGGTAGGGGTATGCCACTGGCTGTTTCAGGGAGCCTGGCTCACTCTTATTGGTGACAAGAGTTAGGTTCTTTTCTGTCAGGACCTAATGGCTGCCGCTAGTGGCCCCATCCCTACCCTGAACAAGCAGGGAGCAGGAAGCAAAAAGGAAAAACAGAGCCAGGCTATACTGAGCCCAGATCTTGAAATATAGCCTCGCTTTTGTTCTCTGTAAAATGGGCACATAGCCCTTCGTTACATACAGATATGGGTTAGATAAAATATTGGGGACATGGCATGGAGGAGGGGTAGGCATCACAGTGTGTCACCTTGCTACCAAACTTGAGGTGACAGTCTATACCCCAACCATAGGGTCAAGCCTCCCTGTGGACTGGCCCTCTACTTAGAGGGCCCTTAGAATCTGCACAGGAGCATGGGTGAGCACACATTGTCCCACATTTGGCTCCCACCCACAACCCCTCACCCATTCTTCCCAGCCTTCAGTGCCAGTTCAGCAAGTCCTGCAAGCAGCTCCAGCTCCCTGGTGCTGTCTCCCTGGACACTGTTAGGAGTGGAGTCACCATAGCAACATGGCCCCTATGGGCACAAAGCTGCTGGGAGAGTGATGCTGGGCGTGGGCAGTGCCTGGGGAAGGGAGAACCTGCTCACAGATGACAAACTAGCCTGGCTGATGAACCCCAGCCCTGGCAGCTAGAGAGAGAGCCAGGAAGGTGACAAGGGAAAACACCCTTGTCGTCCTGTGGAATCCAGGCAGAAACCCCAGCTGGGAAATGGAAGGAGAGAAAGAGAGAGATCTACCCAGGACCAGGAGGCCTGGGGGACTGCCATCACCATGGGACCTGCGGTGTTCCCTAGCTTAGCAGCATTGCTGGAGGTAGGGAGCAAGGCAGCGGCGGCTCCATGTGAACCCCCTCAAGCCTACAAACGCCCCCCTGAATTCAGTGCCATCAGCCTTGCCTTTCCCAGGTGCAGCCCCTTCTTCCATAAGCCCAGACAGAACCTGCTGTGATGCTTGGCAGGGTGAGGCTACAGATGAGCCTTGAAACTGTGAAGATCCTGCTGTGTGTTACTCTCTTTATAAAAAATGCTGCTGGGCGTGGTGGCGCACTCCTTTAATCTCAGCACTTGGGAGGCAGAGGCAGGTGGATCTCTATGAGTTCAAGGCCACCCTGGTCTACATAGAGAGTTCCAGGACAGCTGGGGCTATAAGGAGACCCTGTCTCAAAAAGATCAAAGGAAAAAAAAATGCTATGAGGTTTTTTCTTCATTTTTTATTACATTGATTGATTGATTGACTGGTTGGTTAGTTTGTTGGTTGGTTGATTGGTTCGTTCGTTGGTTGGTTGTTTGGTTGGTTGATTGTATGGGGGCATACATGTGACACAGTATAGAGGTCAGATGACAACTTGCAGGGGTCAGTTCTCTCCTTCTACCATGTGGATTCGAGGGGTCAAACTCAGGTGATCAGACTTGGTGGGTAAAGGCACCTTTACCTGACAAAATGTAAGCTGGCTTTTATGGGGAAAAAAAAAACAAAACAGGTCAACAGGTCAGTTCAGTTTTCAATCTGCTAAACATGTATCCCAGACAAACATTTGCCCATTTGGAGCTTTAAAAATCAAGATAGGATCCATATACCACAAAATTCACCCTCCAAGATTTATACTTGAGGGATTTTAGTATACCCATTCATTTTGATGCATTCCTCAGAGTATTTTCTAGAGGCTGTTGTCAGACTTCTGTGTTCAAATCCCCACTGCATGACTTCCTAGCTGTGTGATTTCGTTTTAGCTATTAACATCTCTGAGCTTTAGTGCACGTTTCTGTAAAAGTGGGATTATACTAGGGTTGCAAGGATTAGCTGAGAATTTGTATTGAAGATCTTGGTCCTTGCTGCATGCTGAGGGTCAGTGGATGCTCTCTACTGTCTTATGTTGGGTGAATGATTGAATGATGGACTGTTAGTTAATTGTGGTCATGTCTAGAGAGACACGAAGGAGGCAGAGTGAACAGCTGAAGAGCTGGGAACCCCAGAGTGGGTGCTGGTAGCTTTGGCGCAGGTGTTTCCATGGCGACTGTGACCTGCCATGGCCTTGCTGTGCTAGAATTGGGTCAGAGACAAGTCAAGCTTCTATGAGCCTTTGCCACCTGCAGTGTGGAAGGGCCTCGGGCCAGGCCAAGAGGGTAGGAAGAATGACACAGCAGCGACCTTGTGGCTGC